CGTGGGGTCCTGGCCCCCGGGGTGTCAGTCGACGTGGGGTCCTGGTCCCCGGGTGTCAGTCCTGAGGGACGTGGGGTCCCGGCCCCCAGGTGTCAGTCCTGAGTGAGGGACGTGGGGTCCTGGCAGATCGTTCAATCAGAACACAAAGTAAAAACCTAGAGGCTTTCCCCCTTCGGATTTCTGGGGTTTGGTGGTCCAGACGGCCTTCCCATCAGCAACTTTGCAGTGTAAGAAATGCAGTCTGTCTGCAGGTTGTGGGGAGGGCCGCGAGGCATGGAGGGGGGCCCTGCTCCGGCGGGTGACCAGCCCTCTTCTTCTGCCCTGCAGGTCCCCAAAGACGTAAGCAAGCACCTGCAGAGGCATCTGCCTCCCACACCATCCCAAGAGCTGCTGACCCTGGCAGGTGGCAAAGACCAGGTCGGCTCCCGCCCTGCCCCCGAGGCAGGGGGTGGGGGCAGTGGTGACCTTTGCCCCTGTGTGCCGGTGACCTGATCTGAGCCAGGTGATTACCGAGGGCACCTCCTTATCTAGCCGGCAAAATGAACACCCTGATCGCTGATAAGAGGAAAGGCACCAACTTTATCTCTTTGGCTCCCGGCTTTTCCTGCGCGTCCTCAGTGACACAACATCGTTGTCACCCTCACATCGGGGTTCCCCCAGCTCCCCGTGCACTGGGCCGGCCGCAGGCAGAGCCCCAGACAGACAGCACCTCCGGGGAGGGGCCGGGCCTGGCTCTACGAAGTCCGGCCCCTTCCTTCCGGCCCCTCCCGTGAGCCCCTCCTTGGCTGCCCTCGGCCACCCCTGGGCAGCTGTAAAAAATCGTCACATCCAGGCCGCACCCCAGACCGCCTACGCGGTGACCCCAGCGTGCAGCCGAGCTTGAGAACCACGGCTCCGTCTGGGGGCCCTCGGGGTCACACGGAGGTGCGTTTTCCCACTGCATCGCACCCCCACTTTCCTGGGGCCGTGAGCTGGGCTGGCTTCTCAGGCCCCAGCCCGTGCCTCGGTCCAACGCTGCAGACCCCGGCCAGGTCCACCTGCCTGCTGGCTCCCAGACGCGGGTCACTGGTTGTGGGCGTCACGCGGGACCAGTGCAAGGTGGGGAGCCCAGAGCTGTTCCCATGAGGAAGTAACTAAATCCAAATCTGTGTCAGGTCTGGGGACACTGGCTCCCATCAGACACGTCCCCTTCATGAGAGAGAGAGAGAGAGAGGTCACTCGAATGCACAGTGTGCATCCTGGGGCCCTCCACGGTCACCATGGATCCCGAGCTCTGCATGGATCCCTCGCTCTGCAAGTGTGGGCTCCTCGGGGCCCCTGGGGTTCTGAACACGCGGCCACCCCAGGAACTCTGGGGCAGGCTGAGACCGTGCACTTCTGACACGTCCCCAGGGACGCTCCTGCCGCCCTGGGCCCACCTGCCGTTGACATGCACCGTCACTGGGCCACGCCTTGATGGCACGTGTGGGCCAGGGACCCGGTGGCACACACCTGTCTGGGGCCCCTGGAAGGACAGAGGGGCCCCTGTTGCCTCAGTGTCCTCCAGTTCAGAGGCCGTGGGCTCTGTACCTGCCCCACTGGCTCTAGGGCCGTGTGTCCCCTTCCTGACCCGCTCTGAAAGAGTGTGCGTCCCCAAGTCGGCTTTACTGCTGGTGCCCTGCTCCCCCCACTGCCGTCATCAGGGATGGCGACAATGACGCTCTGCCCTTGGCTGTGGCCCTGCTGGCTGCACCCCTAGCATTCTCTGGCCCAGAATATGACAGTTCACGGGGGCGGGGGGGTCCTAAGAGCGCCGTTGACCTCGGACCCAGGTCGGCAGGGCCTGCCTGGGGATCCCTGACCGGGCAGTAGGGGGCAGGTGGTCCCGCTTTCCATCCCCGCTTCGCAGACCTGTGATCCGAAGAGGGTCTGGCGACTGTGGGTGGACACTGTCCCCGCTGGGGTGGGCGCTGCAGGGCCGGGTCACATAGAAGGTCGCAGCCCTGCAGCGTCACGTGCAGGCGTGAAGACACCGAGCGCGGAGGATGAATCACAGCGGTCCCAGCGGTCCCAGCGCCGGCACCTGCGGCCACTAATTAGCCTGTGACACACACCAGCCCCTCCCACCACACGTAGACGGGTCACCGGGTCACCGGGGGCACTGTGCTGGGCCCGGGGGCGGAACTGGCAGCTCGCCCCACCCCCACCCCGTCAGCTTGCAAGACGGTTTCCCCCAGGCCAGCAGGCCCTCTTGGCTGCTTCTGTTCGCCAAGCAGGATTTAAGCGCCTCCGGGGCCGGGCCTGAGCTGGGGCCCAGCACTGCCCAGTTACAGCCGCAGAGAAGGGTCAGTGGGACGGGCGGTGGGTGGTTTGCGAGGTCAGATCCCCAGCGGGAAGCGCGGCGCACCCTTCGCCGGGGAGGGGCAGGGGTCTGCACCGAGGCCCCAGCAAGGCGGACCCTCAGACAGGGCCCTCAATACGTGTGGGGACCGACACGGGTGAGTCCCCAGCAGAGTCCGGGCCCGCCACTCCTCAGGTCAGCCATCCCCAGGTCCCCAGATCAGACCGGGCGACCAAACTCTCGAGCCCCATCCCCCAAGATGCTCCCCGATTCTCCGCACACTGACCCTGCCCTGCTTTGTGCAACAGCAGAGCCCAGCCGACGCGCCCCCGGTCCGGGACTTCTTCCTGGGCCGCCAGCCCACGGCCGGCTCCGACTGCAGCTGCTCCCGGGGGAACCTGCTGGTGCGGCCCTTCCAGGACAGCGACTTCTGCCTGAAGGTGTTCTCGCAGGGCAAGGCCACAGCCCTGTGCGCGTCCTGTCCCTCCGTGATGCCAGGCGGGCGGGGTTCCCGGGCAGGGGCGCACAGGGCCGACAGGTGACAGCCTGGCTCACCTCCACTGGCCCCAGAGGACTCTGCAAACTCCCTGTTCCCCGGGCCCTTTACGCGGTCTACAGGGTATATACACCCCATAGACCGTTTGCTTAAAGACGGTCAAGGCCAGAGAGAAGGGGCGCCAGTAACATCTGGGCCCAGGGGGTTCCTTCAGCAGAGAGGCCCCTGGGCCCAGAGAGTGGGAGTCGGAGGGAGCACGGCCTCCTCCACCCCCTACACGTGCATGCATGTACACGCATGCACATGCACACACACATATACATACATGTATATACACACGCACACCCCACATGTGTACACACACGTGCACACAGACGGGCACACACATACCTGCACACACATGCACACACACGTATACACAATACATATGCATGTGCACATACATACACACATACACGCACATGTATATATATATATGCACACGCATGCATGCACATATGTATACCCCCACAGTGCACACACATACACGCACACATGCATATGCACACACACGTATATACACACACAGATACCCCCACATGTGCACACACACACACTCACATACATATACACATATACACACATGTATACACACACATGCACACCCCCACATGCGTACACACATGAATACACACACGGACGTGCATACACATGCACACACACGTATACACACATGCACACACATACATATGCATGTGCATATACATACACACATATACGCACATGTATATACACATGCACACACATGCATGCACATTTATATATACCCCCACACGTGCACACACACACATACACACATGCATATGCACACACATGTATATACACACACACAGATACCCCCACATGTGCACACACACTCACATACATATACACATATACACACATGTCTACACACACACACCCACATGCGTACACACATATGTGCACACACATACCTGCACACACATGCACACACACACGTATACACACATATGCATGTGCACACACACATGTGTATACACATGCACACGCATGCATGCACATATGTATACCGCCCACAGTGCACACACATACACGCACACATGCATATGCACACACACGTATACACACACAGATACCCCCACATGTGCACACACACTTACATACATATACACATATACACACACGTCTATACACACACACCCACATGCGTACACACATATGTGCACACACACAGACGGGCACACACATGCACATACACACACACGTATACACACATACATATGCATGTGCACACACATACACACATGTATGTACACATGCACATGCATGGATGCACATATGTATACCCCCCACAGTGCACACACACACACACATGCATATGCATACACACGTATATACACACACAGATGCCCCCACATGTGTGCACACACACACTCACATACATATACACATATACACACATGTGTATACACATGCACACACATGCACACCCCCACATGCATACACACACGGACGTGCACACACATGCACACACGTATACACACATACATATGCATGTGCACACACACACATACACACATGTATATACACATGCACACGCATGCATGGACATATATATACCCCCCCACGTGCACACACATACATACACACATGCCTATGCACACACATACACATACATATATATCCCCCCCCCACACACACACCACACACCACATACATGGTTGCAGGTGCACATGGCTGTGGGCTTGCCGGCTCCTTGCCCAGAGACAATGACTATAGGATTCACAGAGCTGGGTCCCCAGAGAGGACAGAGGGGACTGGGTGGGAAGAGAACTCTCCACGATTGGGGGCCAGCAGGGCCGAGATTTCAGAATTCACGAAGGGTCACCGAGCTGGGCGTTTCTGTCTGGTGATGACCCGGGTGGGGAGGGGACTGAGGTGAGGGAGGAAAGCTGGTAAAGATTCTGTTTATGCAGTTTGGGTGCCAGCGGGGTCTGAAGGTCTTGGGTGGGAAGCCCATCCTGCAGAAAAGTGAAATACTTCCTGAAAGAACGTGGCCTTCAGCGGTGCGTTTCACTTACTGGTATTTGTTTTTCCTCCTTTTGTGTTTCAGGGAGACGGGAGGTGTGGTAGCTGGAAACCCACAGGAGGTAGGAATCTCTCGGAACACCGAGCTCTGGCTCGTGGGGCTTTCTTGTTGATTCGTAAATGTTCTTTATATGTTAAGGATCATAACCTTTTATTCATCAGGGCCACAACACTTCCTAGGTTCTGGCCCTTCCTACCAAAGACCAGGCGGCATCGGTGGGACCCAGGTTTGGTGGCACCTCCCTCCCTCGGGGGGGGGCTGGGCCATATGTCCCCCACATGCAGTGGGCAGGACCCTCAGACAGAAGAGCCTGGGCCGTTCTGTGCAGGGCAGAGAAGGCGGTGGGTGGGAGATAGACCCCAGGCTTTCAGGGACAGATGGTGGGAGCGAATGAAGCCGCTGAAGGAGAGCTCATCCAGAAACGCCAGACACTTGCCACTCCCTTTACCCTCCGTCCTCACCCCGTCCTCCGTGTGCTGTCCCTTTTCTCCCGCGGCGCGTGTGGGGGAGGCACGCGGAGGGGCCGCTCCGTGAGGGGTCGTACTGTCCGTGTCCCGGGCACTCGGGGTGGGAGGGACGGCCTCCGGGGCACCGCCACCATCTGCCCCGCGGCTGGGGTGTCTGCAGACGCGCACGGGTGCCCCGCGGCTGCGGGTTTGGGTCTCGGACCGAAGGGGGCAGACGTGCTCTGTCGCCGGCACCTGTCGAGTTTGTGAGCTCGTGTTTCTGCAGGGGGAGGAGAAGCCGGGGCTTCGCCCGATCAGTGCCATCCTTCTATTTGAACTCCGGCAGGGTCCACACACGCTGTGGGGTTAGTGTCAGGTGAGCCGTGGCGTTTCTGTCACGAGTTCGTGAGGCAGAACTGCCCGCCCCACTGTCCGCGCTCGCATTCCGGTCAGCGCCCCTGCCAGGGCTCAGCCACCACACCTGCCCCGAGGCGCTTTCCCGGCTGGCGGCTCTCGGTCACCGGAGCTGCCCGGGCCCCACCGGCAGCAGTGGCCCAGCCTCCTGGTGGACCTCTCCCCAGCCCCCTGCCGCCTCTCTTGCTGCCGTCCCAGGGGGTCCGAGAGGCCGGTGTGCCCGCGTGGAGGGAGCGGGTCGGAGCCCGCAATTCAGGTGGTTGGACCCATCCTTCACTTTCACCCTTTTTGGTTCCTGTTAAATCAACTTAGTCCTGGCCCTACGCCCCCCTGCATCAGGCGGGTGGGAATTCAGCCCAGAGACTGTGGGGGCTCCCCGCGGCCCCCTCCCGTGGTCTCGGGGTTTTCGGAAGCACAAAACAACGGAAGATTCTTCCGGTCCCGGGTGCTCGCTGCTGTCCCCAGAGACGCCCCGTCAGCTCACGGCACTGCCCCAGGCCTTCTGCGCCAGGTCTGGGGCTCCCACCCTTTGTGAACCAGGAGCCCCCAGGCCTGGGGCCCAGCCTTCCCTCCTGAGGTCCCGCGGAGCCGTGAAGGGCAACCAGGATCCCAGGGCCCCCGACGCACACGCACACGGGGATCACGTCTGCAGGGGAATCAGGACTTACAGAAGACAGGGACAGTCCTTGCCTTCAAGGACTTCCCTTCTCCTCCCTCCAGTCATGACAGTCGGACGTTCGAGAGCCCGACTGTCCGCCTGGAGTGGGGCGAACAAACACTTGGGATTTAGGTGTGGTCTTGGCCTGTTGGGTGACACGCTGACCACGGTTTCTGCGTGGGCAAAGCGTGGTAAAGCAGCTAAAGCGTGGGCAGGGGTGAGGCCGGCCATGAGTGGTGAACGAGATGCTGGCACGCAGCCCGTGGCCATCGAGGGACAGCGTCGTCAGTGCTCTGGCACTCTCTCCAGCGTGGCGTTGGTTCGTGGTTTTCCGAGCGGTGGTTCTAGAACACCGACTTGGCTTTCTGGAAACTCCTGGAGACATCCGGGACGCGTGTGACGGTTGGGGGAGAGCCCGTGTCAGGCTGGAAAGTCTCTGGACAGACCCATTCGTGGAATGATCGGTCATTGTCATGGGACGTTGACACACACCAGCTCGCCTGTCTTCTCTGACCCCCCCCCCC